ATGTGGTCTATTCTGGAGAATGTTCCATGTGCATTGGAAAAGAAAGTATACTTGGCTCCTGTTGGGTGGAGTGTTCTGTATATGTCTGTGAGGTCAGGTTGGTTGATTGTGGCATTTAGCTCTTCTGTGTCTTTATTGAGCTTCTTTCTGGATGTTCTGTCCTTCATCTAAATGTTTATTATGGTTACGTCCTCCTGGTGTATTGACCCTTTAATCATTGTAGAGTGTCCTTCTGTATCCTTTGTGGTGGATTTTGCTTTAAAGTTTATTTTGTCAGAGGTTCATATTGCTACTCCTGCTCTTTTTTGAGTGTTGTCTGCTTGATGTATTTTTTTCCATCCTTTGAGTTTTAGTTTATTTGTGTCTTTAAGTCTAAAACGTGTCTCTTGTAGGCAGCATATAGATGGATCATGTTTTTTTATCCATTCTGCCACTGTCTGTCTCTTTATGGGTACATTGAGTCCATTTACATTCAGTGTAATTATTGATAGATATGAGTTTAGTGCTGTCATTTTGATATATTTTTGTTGTTGTTGACAGTTTCTTTGTTCCGGTTAATTTTCTGTGCTGAGTCATTTTTCTTTATATATTTTCTTTTCATCCTTTTTCATTGTTGTTGATTTTGTATTTGCTGAGTCTTTATGTTTTTCTTGTTTTTTATTTTGATGTGTGGGATTGCTAGTTTCCTTTGTCGTTACCTTAATATTTACATCTGTTTTTCTACATTTATAGCAGTCTTTTATTTCTTTATATCCCCTTGACTTCCTCTCCATATGAAAGATCTATGACTACATTATTTAGTCCCTCTTTTTTGTTTTAATGTTGTCATCTTTTACATACTGATGTGGCTGTTTTCCTATTTTCAGTATTTTAGCTTGGATTTATTTTTGTGACTTCCCTGTCTGGGTTGATATCTGGTTGCTCTGTCCTGTGTTCTAGTCTTGGGTTGTTATCTGATGTTATTGATTTTCTAATGGGAGAACTCCGTTTAGTATTTCTTGTAATTTTGGTTTGGTTTTTACAAATTCCCTAAACTGTTTATCTGGAAATACTCTAATTTTGCTATCATATTTGAGAGACAGTTTTGGTGGGTATATAATTCTTGGCTGGCAATTTTTTTACTTCAAGGCTTTATGTATGTCATCCCATTGCCTTCTCGCCTGCGTGGTTTCTGCTGAGTAATCCAAGCTTAGTCTTATTAACTCTCCTTTGTAGATGACTTTTCCTTTTTCCCTAGCTGCTCTTAAAATTCTCTCTTTATCTTTGGTTTTGGCAAGTTTGGTTATAATATGTCTTGGTGACATTGTTTAGGGATTTATCTTGTGTGGGGTTCAATTAGCTTCTTGGATAGGTATCTTCTTATCTTTCATGATATCAAGGAAGTTTTCTGGTAACATATCTTCAACAATTCTCTCTGTATTTTCTGTTATCCACCCCGTTCTGGTACTCCAATCATTCATAGATTATTCCTCTTGATAGAGTCCCACATAATTCTTAGGGTTTCTTCATTTTTTTAAATTCTTTTATCAGATTTTTCCTCAAATAAGTTGGTGTCAAGTGCTTTATCTTCAGTCTCACCAATTGACTTCCCCTGCCTCAATTCTGCTCCTATGACTTTCTACTGAGTTGTCTAATTCTGAAATTTTTTTGTTAATCTTCTTGATTTCTGATTGCTGTCTCTCTGTAGGTTGTTGAAGCCTGTTCAATTTGTCCTTACGGTCTTGTATAACCTTCCTAAGTTCCTCTGTTGCTTTGTCTGTATGTTCCTTGGATTGTTCTGCATTTTGCATGATCTCCTTCCTGATCTCTTGAAGAGCTCTGTGTATTAATCTTTTGAATTCTACCTCCGATAATTCCAAGAAGTTCTTTTCTTCCAGAAGATTTCTTGATTCTTTGTTTTGGGCCCTTGCTGAAGCCATCATGGTCTGCCTGTTTATGTGATTTGATATTGACTGTTGTCTCCGAGACAATAAGTTATTATATTTATTTATTTTATATTTACTTACTGTGTCCTAGCTTCTTGTTTTGTTTTGTTTTGATATGCCGAAATAGGCTGCTTGTGTGTGATACTTTGATTATTGGCATTTTTGAAGCTCTCACATCCTGTCACCAGGTGGTTAGAGCTGTTACTAGGTAAGTGAGCCCAGGAGTCTGTTTACTTTTGTTGTATGGATTCAGCTCAGGTGTCCATCTAGTCAGTCACCAATGTGTTGTGCTGGCTTCCACCTACAGTCCTAGACAGGCAAGGGTGATTGGAGTAGGCACAGGTATCTGGCTGCAGTAGAGGGTCATGCACTGAGCAAGGCAGGAGGCTGACGGCTGTTCCTGAGTGTCTGGGAGGAAAGTGCGTACCTGTTCCCTAGAGCACGTTAGTGGGTGAGTTTTGCAGCTGAACTATGGACACCCAATGCTGTTAACTGTAAGGACTGGGAGGCACCACTTATTCTTGGACCCCTGTTGCAGGTGGCTAGGTGCCATGGGTGGAGCCACCAGTCCTCAGGACCCTGATGTGGATGGGTGAGGACCCTGCTAAATGGGTAGAGCGGTGTCAAATGTCACGAATCTGCCACTCCCCCTCATAGGTGATATAGTTGAAAATAGGCTTCAGATATATACCCTGTTGTACTGTGCTAATGAGGGCTTACACTGTTGAAATGGGCCCACACAGGTCTATGCATGGGTGAAAGGCATTCAAAGTCCATGAACCCCTTATGCCTGTGCCTAGGCAAAGTGGCTGTGCCTTCCCTGAGTTCCCGGCTTAGGGGAGCTGACAGATTATTTTTTCCTGTTGTTGATTTGCTCTCTCTCCAAAGCCAGGAGAATGGCTCAGGGTGTGCGACAGGTCCTACTTCTGATGCAGGAGGCGCAGCAATCACTGAAGCCCAACTGGGACCTGGTACAGAGTGGGGAGGGTGCAGGTAAATGGGAGAGAGGTTCTTCCCAAAGAGGTTGTTTAGAAAATTTTATTTTATAGTGCTTTAGGTAAAAGTTTACATCTCAAGTTATTTTCTTATACAAAAATATATACACACATTGTTATGTGACCCTAGTTGCTCTCCCTATAATGTGACCACACATTCCTCTTTTCCACCCCTGATTTCCCATCTCCATTCAACCTGCTCCTATCCCTTTCTGTCTTCTCATATTGCCTCTGGACAAGAGCTGCCCCTTTAGTCTCATGTATCTGCTCGAACTAAGAAGCACACTCTTAACGAGTATCGTTTTGTGTTATAGTCCAGTCTATTCTTTGTCTAAAGAGTTGGCTTTGGGAATGGTTTTAGTTCTGGGTTAACAGAGAGTTTGGGGGCCATGTCTTTTGGGTTTCCTCTAGTCTCAGTCAGACCATTAAGTCTGGTCTTTTTACTAGAATTTGAGTTCTACACCCTCCTTTTCTCCTGCATGGTCAGGGACTCTCTGTTGTGTTCTCTGTCAGGGCGGTCATTGGTGGTAGCCAGGCACCATCTAGTTCTTCTTGTCTCAGACTGATGGAGTCTCTGGTTTTTGTGACCCCTTTTGTCTCTTTGGCTAATATTTTCCTTGTATTTTAGGTGTTCTTCATTCTTCTTTGCTTCAGCTGGGTTGAGACCAATTGATGCATCTTAGGTGTCCACTCACTAGCTTTTAAGACCCCAGACACTGCTCACCAAAGTGAGATGCAGAACATTTTCTTAATAAACTTTGCTATGCCAGTTGACCTAGATGTCCCCTGAAACCCTGATCCCCAGACCCCTGCACCTGCTACACTGTCCCTCAAAGTGTTTGGTGGTATTCAGGAAACTTCTTATCTTTTGGCTTAGTCCAGTGGTGCTGACTTCCCAAAGAGGGTGTTTTTTTGATCCGTGCAGTAGGTTAGATGCATGTACTTACCTTTTGCTGATTAAGCCCTACTTGTCACTGGTTCTAGAGGCTCGAGCAGACTCTCTCCCACTTGGTCTCTTCCACTGTGGAAAACATGTCCCGAGCGCCACTGCTTGCCTCACCATGCACGCCAGCCAGGTCAGGTCTGGCAACTCTTCATTGCTTCTGAACCGTCTGTCCCTCCCCCTGCTGCTCAGTCTGATTCCTCAACTTTGCCTTTGATATTCAGGACTCCTAGATTGTTATATATAATCGATTTACTTGTTCTTTCGGGTCTTTGTTGTAAGGGACACCACAGACGGGGTCTGACTACTCCGCCATCTTGGCCCCGCCTCTCAGAGAATATGTTCTTTATGTTGGAAAATTGTCCCCCAAGTCCATTCTTTTCTATGTAGCATGTTGCAGTGGTAGTTTGATTCCAGTGTGGAAAATTATTTCCCTCCTAGTGGGATTTCACAGACAAAACCACATTTGACATGTAACACGTAGAGACTGAGAGTCCTTCCCACAAAATGAGCCCTATTTTTGCTGATCAGATTACAAAGGGATGTATGATAAAAGATAGAATTGGCAGAGACAGATTGGAAAAGAAGATGTAAAGATCACACTAAAGTCCTCCAAAATAGTCTGATATATTTTAATCATTCTGTATTAGCTTGCTGCATCTTAAAATATTTTTTTCAAATCAAGTCACAGCTGTTGTGTACTTTAGGCTGTGGCCATCATAAACATATGAAAAGAAGCAGAGTTAAAACAGATGAATGCCAATGGTTATCCATTAGTCTGGTATAATCTAACACAAATGACCATTAGGAGACTTGCAAAGAAATCAGAGAAAACAGAATTCTAAATATGAGCTACTGCATAAATGAATGACAATTTTCATCTGTTGCCTGGTTTGGTCAAGGTTATAATGTTTTTAGGAAATCAGTCCTTCCCTCTAAGTCAATCTGTTCATAAGTGAGGCTAGTGGAGGATCCCAGGGTAAAGAGAGCCAGATTTCTATGAAATATTTTCAAGCATGGTAAAGTTTGTACCCTCTCCTTCCATGATAGAATTGGAGATTTATTACCATGGAATCCCACCCCCACCACCACGACCATTGGCTGGTTTAAATCTTTCCGCAGTGAAAGGATTACCATCTCTACTGTCTCCTCCTATTCCGATTTCCTCCTCTTCCAGTTCCTCATCACTCCTCAAACAACTGGAATTTTTCCCATACTTAGTTCTAAAAACCAGTTTAGTGTCTTAAATTATCAATTCTATAAATGCCAAATTTGGTAAAGTGAATTTACCTAATATAAAGAATGCCATATTTAACCACTTGGTTGATATCAGAGTGGCTGGATAGACAGAACACACCTCAGAATTATATCCATTCACTATGACTGTGCTCTCACTCTAAGACATCATGCAATGAGTATGGTCTCCACAGTGGAGCAGTGTAGAGATGTGCATTCTTTGCCTTGCCTGAACAACTCAAGTGCTGATTTCATTTTCTGATTATAACAAACTCAGTCCTGATTGAATGCTGTGACCTGCACCCCTAGCTGAAAGCCGTTTGCTTAAACTAGAATAGTCTGAGCTAGTAATTTAGCTGGGAACGCAGATCGAGAGGTGCCAGTCAGCTGGGGTGGGGAGAGCCAAGTCTTGAGGATTCCTCCTGTAGGTCACGTAAAACTGGGGGATTGTCCAGATTAACTGTTAAACTTTTCCAGAACAGCACGCACTTCCTCTGGATGGTAGTTCCAAGGGCCAGGTTTACCCTGCAAGAGAAATGAATCAGTGTTCCCAGATTTCCAGCTTGCAGGAACATGTGGGTCTGGGGCTTAGTTGAGAGATACCTGTGGGTGATCTCTATCTGGGAGTTGTCAGCATGGCATAGACAATGGCAGATGCAACCATGGAGTACATGAGATTTCCCAGAGAGTGTGTGTGGTGGCACCAACACTGAATAGGAAGAGTGGACAGAGAAGTAGGAGGAAAACCAGAAGGGTAAAGTGCCAGCATTTCTAAAAGAGAAATGGATCTATACAAATAAGCTTTTCTTCCAGAGTCAGACTTTCAGACTGGTGTAACTTTCTCTGCCTCTCCATCCCTCACATCAAGTTCTACCCATTCTGCATCAGAACGACCTCCACCCTTCAGTCCTACTGCCCTAGTTCAGCCCTCTTTGTCTCCTGCTTGGGCAGCTGCCATACCTCCCAAATGTCCCCAGTCCTCAGTCCCTGTTCCTTCCAGTCCTTTATTCACCTTTACCCAACAGCCAGTGATCTTTATAAACTACAGATCTGATCATGCCTCTGCTCTCCTCAAAGTCCTTCAGTTGCTCTCCTTTGCCCTAAGATGAAGGCCAAACTCCTTGGTCTAGAATGAGACCCCCTGGAACCCAAATACTCCCCCAATTCTCCATTAATACCCTGCCCTAATATGCCTCAGTACCCCTCTCCTGCTCTATTCCTTTATGTGTAATAACTTTCTTTCACCATGCCCACTTATCCAAATCCTTATCGTCCTTTAAGGCCCAAGCAATTGTCACCTCCTCTGAGAAGCCTGCCTTTACCCAGGGGTCAGCAGATTTACAGTCTGATATCCAGGCCATTCGTTTACATGTTGTCTGTGACTGCTTTCATGCTACATGGCAGAACTGAGTAGTTGTGACAGAGACCATGTGGCCCACAAAGCCAAAAATATTTACCATCCGGCTCTTTACAGAAAAAGTTTCCTGACCCCTGCCCTGGACTCTCATAGCACTTGGGACATCGTAACACTTCACCTGGGTCTCCCTAATCCCGGAGCTGTGAGCACTTAAAGCTAGGCATGGGTCATTTTTGATTCATGCACTTAGCACACGGCCTACCCCAGAGTAGAGACTCAGTGCCCAGCTTGCCTCAATCATGCCATCGCAGAATCCTGTCTCAGGGAAGGGAAAGGAAGAAGGCCCTGAATTATTCTTGTACTATGACCCTTGGCACCCTGGGCATTCATCTGCGAACTGTTGCTTGTTTCACCTGCTTCAATAGGGCCAGCTTGACCTGTGGGCAGAGGAGCTGGGGGCCCATCCATATGGTCGGATTTCATCTGTTCTCTGAGGCCTGACATCCCTTCAGCAGCTATGAAAGCTGGTTCTGTCTTTTCAGGGGAGGCCAGGAGTACACAGGGGTCAGAAGCTGTGTTTACCTCACTCACCAGGCCCAGGCTAGAGAGGGAAACAATCACCAGAAAGGAAGACGGGGCTCAGTTCCCACCTTTGTCCCCTGCTTCAGCATTCCCAGCTCCTAACTGCTGAGTTCCTTCTCTTCCAGCCTCCTACCTGGTAGTGCAGTGGTTAAGTGCTCGCCTGCTAACCAAAAGGTCGGGAATTCAAACCCAGGAGTGGTTCTGTGGGAGAAAAGACCTGGTAATCTGTTCCCATAAGATGAGAGCCTTGGAAACCATATGGGGTAGTTCTACCCTGTTCTACAGGGTCGCTAGGAGTCCAGATTGACTCGACGGCACACAACACCCCCCTCCAGATTCTGGCCTGCTTCAGAGATTGTTGTTATTGTTGTGTGCCATGGAGTTGATTCTGACTCACACCAACCCTATGGGATAGAATAGAACTGCCCCATAGGATTTCCAAGGCTGTAATCTTTATGGGGAACCCTGGTGGCACAGTGGTTGAGAGCTCAGGCTACTAACCAAATGGGCAGCAGTTCAAATCCACCAGTCAGAATTGACGCAACAGGTTTGGTTTTTTTTTTTGTTGTTGTTATCTTTACAGAAGTAGACTGCCATATCTTTCTCCTGTGGAGCGACTGGTGGGTTCAAGCACCGACCTTTCTGTAAGCAGCCTAGCACTTCACCACTGTGCCACCAGGGCTGCTCCTCACAGATTAGCAGCTTCAAATCCTCCAACTCCTGCCCCATCCCATCCAGGGAATTTTGAATTGAAATCAGAGCCTTGGCCAGTGTGACCTTGGGAAAGTCACTTGCCTTCTCTGGGCATCATTTATAAAATGGAAACTAATATTCTCCACCTCTCAGCTTAAAACCAAACCAGGGCTGAACTAGTCATCTGGGTTCAGAAGGCAGCCAGGAGGATGCTGCTCTAATCCAAATGCCAGGGGCTTTCTTGTACATCATTTCATCCCCTGTGAGGTGAGGATCAACACCCCCATTTTGCAAATGAGAAAACTGAAGCTCCAAGAGGAGAAGGGACTTGCCCGTGGTCACATGGCTGGTAAGTAACCAGGTAGGGATTTGAATCCAGGTCTGCCTAATGTAAAATTCACTCTTTGCCCTTGCCCTCCCTGGGCCCCTTCTGCCCTCCCCAGGCGCCTTTCCCTTCCCTGGGCCCCTTTTACCCTCCCCAGGCCCCCTTGCCCTCCCTGGGCCTCCTGCTCCCAGGTCACCACCTTGTAAAGGATCTTGCCCTCCTGGAGCACGTAGAGCCTCTCTGGCAGTGCCGCGTAGAGCTGGCTGCTCACGTTCTGCATCGTGTCCACCACCACGGGGCACTGGGGGCTTCTGTCCAGAAGCAGGCGAGCTGCCTGCAGGCGGTCCTGGAGGTTCCGGTGATTCCTGATGGCCACGTTGTTTTTAAAAGCCCAGCCATCTGCAAGAGAAAGGCGTGACAGCAGGCCCACAGAGATGGCACATGCTTCCTGTGGACTAAATACCCCCACCTTTAACTGAGGGTTCTAGTTAGAGGAGCCATTGGCCATGACTGGCCTAGCTTCCTATTATGAGTAAATGGCTGAGGTCACACAAGGCCTTAATGATTGATCCAGAACTGAAGCCCAGGCCTTGGCTGTTCAATGTGAGATAGAACAATAGACCAGTACTTCTCAATCTTTAATGTGCATATGAATCAATCAGAAACGCTGGTGGCGTAGTGGTTAAGACCTCTGGCTGCTAACCAAAAGGTGGGCAGTTCGAATCCACCAAACACTCCTTGGAAACTATGGGGCCGTTCAACTCTGTCCTATAGGGCCGCTATGAGTTGGAATTGATTTGATGGCAATGGGTCGGGTTTATGAATCACTCAGGGACGTTGTCAAAGTAAGATTTTGATTCAGTCTTCCTAGGGTGGCATTGAGAGACTAATTAGCTGCTGAGATGCCAAGGCTGCTGGGCCTGGACCACACTTTTGAAAGGCAAGGTCCTAGAGCAGTGGTTTTCAAAGCATGTGGTACCAGGGCCAGCAGCATCAGCGTCACCTTGTTAACAAGTTCTCAAGCACCACCCTAGACCTTTTGGGGATGGGGCCCAGCAATCTGTGTTTTAACAGCCCTCCAGATGATTTTGATGCACCCTGAAGTTTGAGACTGCTCTAGAGTCTAGACAATTCCCTCTCCCAATTACTGTCCACAATGACTTTCCAAAATGCAAATCTGGCATAACTCTCCTGCTTACCATTTTCTCTGACTCCCTGTCACCCTCAGGATAAGTCTCAAGCTCCTCAGTGTGGCCACAAGGTTCTCAGTGACCTGACCTCTACCTATCTCTCTAGCCTCATCTCCGGCCACCCCTTCCAGCTCCTTGCTGCAGCCGAGTGAAATAATTGGGATTCCTTGGCCCTGTCCACTCCCAGTCTGTCTCTCATTTCCACCTTGGTCCAACACAACTTCTGTCTCTACCTGTAGTGTGAGCAGAGTGAGGCTGTTTCTTCCCTTGGTTTGTATACTACAACTTGCGCTACTGCAGATGATGTGTTAGCTTTACTAACAGGCTCATGCATAATAAGTCTCTCAGGGTGAGCTTATAACCAAGTACAGCTAGCTTGGCAATGACCCTTAATGTCATCCCTTCCTGAGCAGTCTTTCTGCCTCCTAGTCTCATTGCCTTCCCAGTGCCAGCAACAGATTGCACAGTAAGCAAGGTACACACAGGCTTAATTGCGCTTATTTACTCGTCTGTAGTGAAACCCATGTGAAATTGTGCGCTGCAGATTAGTAAGTAAACACAGTGAAGGCTGTGTGTACCTAGCTTACTGTAAGTCAGTGCGTATGGTGCTTACTGGTTAGTCTGCCCCTGCTTCCCACCCATCATTCACAAAACTCTGAGTATGATTTCTAACATGAAATCTGATCATATTTTTTTCTCTGCTTAAAAGCCAGTTATAAGACAAAGCCCTTGCGTTTAATGATCCTCATCATTTCTCTCAGTCTGTTTGCAGTCAGGTCTGCTGGCCCTTCCTCATCCAGCCAAAGTAGATTCCCCCTCAAATGAGGCTGACACTTTGTCTGCCTTTGTCATGATGATCCCTCTACTCTTCCTCCTTACCATCTCTTCTACTTTTGGAATCCTACCTGTCCTTCAGAGGCTCAACACTAAAACAGGGTTTCTCAGCCGTGGCACTATTAACATTTGGGGCTGGATGATTCTTTGTTGTACGGAGCTGTCCTGTGCATTTTAGGATGTTGAGTAAAACCTCTGGCCTCTACCTGCTAGATGCCAGTAGCTCACACCCCCCCAATTCATGCCAACCAAAAATGCCCCCAGACATTGTTAAATGTCCTCTGGGGGGCAAAATCCCCACTAGATGAGAACCACTGCTCTAACACCATCTCCTGCAGGAGGCCTTTCCTAATCTCCTTCAACCATATGATATTGAGCAAGCTCTTTAAGCCTCGGTTTTCTCATCTAATAAATGGGAGTAATGAAACCTCTGTCGTAAAATAGCTGTGAGGTTTAAATGATATAACTTGTGTGGAATTCCCAGCACTCTGCCTGGCACACAGGAGCTTCTCAAAAACATATTTGTTTATTTTGCCTGACTGCCCTCAAATTACAAACATGTGGGAAAGAACCCAGTTTTTTATTCTGGACCCTAGGTTTTCTTCTAGTCTGCTCTTGTAGGTGGTTCCCTTAAAACCAAACTATTTAGGGGTGCTTAACTTTAAGAGGAGCCCTGGTGGTGCAGTGGTTAAGAGCACAGCTACTAACCAAAAGGTTGGCTGCTAACCAAAAGGTCGGCAGATCGAATTCACCAGGCACTGGTTGGAAACCCTATGGTGTAGTTCTACTCTGTCCTATACGGTCGCTATGAGTTGGAATCGATTCAGTGGCAATGGGTTTGATTTGTGTTTTTTTTTTTTAACTTTAAGTGGAAGGGCATTTTCAATTGACCTTATTGCCAAGGTGCCACTTGCAGTAGATAGTACTCATTAGCTAATGGACCGACACGTTGAAAACTAACCGTAAACTGCTGCTGGTCTTGCACTTCTCCAGGGGAACCTGGAACCCAGATAATGTGGTCATGGGTTCCTTCAGAAACCACGTGGCCTGTGTTCACAGTAATAGTTACCTTCCTTGGGTTAACTGATTGACAGAAACAAGTGGCTTAAGTCTGGCAGTAGACTCGGCTCCACTTCCATAGTGCTTCAAGGTCCACTTGCTCAGTACCCCTCCCCCAAGTAAAACAGCTCTCAGCAGAAATTCACCCTTATATAAAAATGCCTGGTTATAGCTTAAAGTATTTATTACCTATCCAAGACACCAAAGCTTTATTGATGACACCACCAGTTGCTTGTGTTTGTATCATGTTTAGGCAGCCTCACCTACCCATTAGCTCATTGGAGCTTCACAGCGGCTTCCTATGGCAGGCCAAGCAGGGATTCTCATGCCCATTTTGCAGCGGAGAACATGGAGACCTAGAGAGGAGCAGGGACTTGCCTCCCCAACTTAACTGTCAGTGCCATAGAGGCAAGAACCCCCTGTATCTTCATCTCTATGGTATATGCCTCACCCAGCACAGAGGTGGGCACATAGCAGGTGCTGGCTAAATATTGTTGAATGAGTGATTCTGCGAGGCAGGTGTTGTCATGCCCATCTTATTGGTGTACAAACGGGCTTGGAACGTAACTTGCCAGCATGTGATGGAGCTAGGACTCAAACTCAGGTCTGAAACTCCAAAATCTGCATTCTCCCCACCAAGCCTCATGCTTCCCTTCATTTTACTTGGACAAGCATGTGGTGTGTGGGAGACAGGACAGCCAGCTGCTTTGTGCCACAGACTCCAGAGCCCCTAGGATCGGTGGACTGTGGCTCTCTGCGTTTTAATTCTGGCGTTCCAACCATACCCTTCGTGTGATTGACAGAAACAAGTATCCTGGGGAAGGTGATGGAGAGGAGGAAGAACTCTCTGAACTAGGAGTTCAGAGAGGTACAGAGGCAAGAAACCAGTCAGTGTCAGGATGGGGACAGGGAGCTTTTCCTTATAGCTTGATGTGGACAGCTGTGGGTTCTGGAAAGGATTAACTCTGCCAGTCTGTTTCCAGAAGAAATAGGTCAAAGAGACAGGTTATCAGGCCCAGGAAACAATTCCTGTGGCCATCTGATCCAGCTTGTTGCAGTTTGCAACCTCTTCTTTTAAGGGAGATTAAAGTTGGATTCTCCACGACCTTGTTACTCAAAGTGTGCTCAGTGGACTAGCAGCCTCAGGATCACTTTGGGGAGCTTGTTAGAAATGCAGAATCTCGGGCACCACCCTAGACCAACTGAGCCAGAATCTGCATTTTAATCAGATCCCCAGGTACTCTGAGAAGTGCTGCCCTAGGACAGTTAAATCACCTTTGGCTGGACTGCAGCTGACAGCCGTGGTGACATCAAGGCATTTTCTCTTCTCAGCCACAGAGACCACGGGTACCTTTGTCAGTGCTGAAGTTCTCTTTATTTAACTGATGGCTGCTGCTCTCATAAAGGGATATTAAACCAAAAGATATATTGTGCTTCTCTTTGCCCTCCTGTTCCATGGGCTGTTTTTATTTATTTAACTTTTATGATGGAAATTTTTAAATATACATAAAAGTAGAGAGAGTAGTATAATGAATCTTCATGTACCCATTACCCTAGGCAATATTTTAAATTGCCCCTAAGTCTTAATGAGGACAGAAACTCCCAGTTAAATAAACACAGTATTACATGGAAAGCAATTCTCAAACCTTTGGGTACACATAAATCATGTGAGTTTCTTATTAAAACTGTAACTTCTTTGTTGTTGTTGTTAGTTGCCTTGGAGTCAATTTCGACTTATGGTGACCCCATGTTTTACAGAGTAGAACTGCTCCTTAGGATTCTCTTGGTGGTAATCTTAATGGAAGCAGATTGCCAGGCCTTTTCTTTCACGGTACATTGGGTAGGTTCAAACCACCAGCCTTTAGATTAGCAGTCAAAGTGCAAACTGTTCGCACTGCCTTGGGACCTGCATAACTTGCTTACCCATACCAATTGCTATTGAGTTGATTCCGACTCATAGTAACCCTGTAAGACAGGATAGAACTGCCCCATAGGGTTTCTAAGGCTGTATATATTTACAGGAGCAGACTGCCACATCTTTCTCCCACAGAGCAACTGGTAGGTTTAACCACCGACCTTTCAGTTAGGAGCCAACCACTTAACCACTGCACCACCAGGGCTCCTTGTATAACTTCCTTAGCACTCTTCTTATACACAAGATGCAGTGGGCTTGGGGTGGGGCCCTGGAAGGTGCATTTTTAACAAGTAACCCAGCTGATTCTGACATTAAGTATCTGGGGACCACACTGGAGAAATCACTAGTGGACCAACTTTGCTAATAATTAATTGTCATCTACACACATGGGGTTGCTTTGAGTTGGAATTGCCTTGATGGCAGCTGGTTAACACAACACATGGACAAGACAGTAGGGCTAAATACTGGCCTAAACACTCATTCACTCACCCAGCTTTTACTAAGCTCTGACCTTGTGCTCAGACAGGGACTCTGCCAAGTGCTGCGGTAACAGTTGAATCAGACAGAATCTGTCCTATCTTGTGCGGAGACAGGTAAGTAAATGACCCACTAGCCTTTTTGCCCTCTTCCATCTCTGGATTAGAAACGTGGGCCAAACTCATGAGCTTGATCCCATGAGAATCAAAGAGATGGGGGTGTGTCTGCCCATTTTGTAGAATTTAAGGAACTTAGACCAAGGTGTAGAAGTTTCAGGGAAGGACACATCTGCCTGTCATAAAGAAGCACTTTCTTGCATACAAGAGCTGTCCAGCAAAGGAGCAAGATTTCCTGTGAAGTACTGAGTTCACGATCACTGAAGATACGCATCCAACTGTCAGGGGCTGTAGAGAGGATTCGTGCCCCAGGTGAAAGTTACCTAGAACAGTGATTCTCAAAGTGTCGTCCCCAGACCAGCAGCATCAGCATGACGTGGCAAAGAGTCAGAAACGCAAATTCTTGGCCCCCATCCCAGATCTTCTAAATCAGAAACTCTGGGAGTCCAGAGTCCAGCAATCTGTGTTTTAGCAAGACTTCTAGGTGATTCTGCTGCACACTAAAGCTTGAGAACCACTGACCTAGATGAACCATAATGTCCCTTTGAGCTTGGAGAGTGTTCGAATGTATTTCACGAATAACTTTTTAGCAGTCATTTCACTTGTGACGTTTCAGGTCTAAATTCTTTGTAACTAATATTTCTGCCCTCCCAGCTAGATCCTGTCACTCGAGGTTTTCTGCTGTGAAGTTAGCAAGTGGTGGGTAAACCTAGTTCAGGTAAACTAGGTAAATCTAGCCCAGGGACTGGGAGATGGTAGGTGCTCAATGAATAGCAGTTCTATCTCTCTCTCACCTCCTCTTCCTCTCTCCACCCCCAACCCTAGCATGGGGTTAGGGGAAGGAGAGAGAAAAAAAGAGGGAAGAGGCCAAGGCAGGGAATCTTTCTGTACCTGTTGCATGAGCTTCTTCAATGTAAATGATGAGAAAATCTGCTATGGAGCTAAAGTCTTCCATAAGTCTCTTGAACTGGTCAAACTTGGAAAGAAATGAAGGTCAGGTGCAGCTTCCAAAATTCAGCACCAGTGGTCTGATGCCTAAAACAGAAAACGGAACCATCATAAACCAAGAATCTACACCCAGCATTTCTTTTGCAAGCATGTTCTTCACTCCTGCATTCATTTCTGTTCTGTTTGTTTCCCCTCCAGGATGAATCCAGGGTGCAGTGTGGGGCTGGACCCTAGAGAACATAACTTAGCAGATTCTCCTCTCCACACAAGAAGATTTTCTTAGGAGGTCTCAGCGGACCATTGGGTGATAATTAAAATAATGATAAGAGGAGTCCCTTTTATGCAGTTTATTAGGCACATACACATCTATTCTCTCATGTGATGTGATTAGCAATACTACAAGGTAGGTATTTCTTTTCCCCTTTTACGAAGAAACTGAGATTTATAGACTTGCTCCAGGTGGTACAGCAGGTCAGCGGCAGAGTTAAAATTAACACTGTGGCTTGTGGACTCTCAATTCATTTCTTTTCATTCAAAGTGCCTCAGTTTCCTCATCTGCAGGGGGACATAACAGTAGTACTTACCTTATAGGATTGTTATGAAGATTAAATAAGCCAATGCAGATAAGGGCTTAAAACGGTGCCTGGCCCCGTAGTAGGTGCTCAATTAATGTACATTGTTGTTAATAGCTATCATCTCCAACTTGAGCTGTGAAATGGGGGAGACAGTGAAGCAAGGGGCTGCACAAAAAGGAGTGGGAGCAGGGCTAGCTACATAATTTGTGAGGTCCGAGGTCCATTACAGAATGAAAGTGCAAGACCCCTTGTTCAGAAAGTGGGAAAATGTACCGTTAAAGGTACTAAAATATAAAGCTTTTTCTTCTCTTCTCTTGACCTGTTATGGTGTTTTCTAGTTGCTATTTAATGTCCTGTTCCCTTGGGCACAGGGACACTCACAGGGTGAGTGCAGACCCTCACAGTGATCCGGGAGCCCCCCAACTTGGCGTGTATGTGCAAGTACTCCTGTGGCCATTCGCTACCAGTTCCCCCTCCCTCTAGCCACTGGACCAATGCACCAGGCCATCGCCAGGGACAGGGGAGCTGAGCCAGGCATTTTCCCTTCCCACCTGCCTACCAGCCCAACCTACAGGGCATTGCAGCCTCTGTTCAGTGACATGCTAGATGATGGGCAAGAGGTTTCTCCCTGCCAAGTCCTGTCCCCTTCCCATCACCTGCCAAATGCACCCATGGTGCTGTCAGCCTGAGATGGCACAGCCACCTCCATACCCTGCTCTGAGATGCTGCGGTGTGACTGCACCTGACCCAGCCTTCCCCGTGCCAGTGTCCAGGCCCTCTCTGAGGCCAGAAGGTGGCAGTGATCACTGGATGGGGGCAGGAAGAAGGGGGCTGGATGGGGCCTGGGGCACCAGGGGGTGGAGGGGCCAGTAGCAGAGAACACATCCCAGGGAGGCAGGGAGGCTTCGGAAGCTGGGGCTGTGCATGAGCTGAGGCTCTGAGTCCCTGGGGCATGCTCCTTTGTCCCATCAGACTTCACTTAAAAAACACAAATTCAAACACGGAATTATTAAGAATTTCAAGACAGCTACTGCAGAACATTAAGCCCCAAGCATGAGGCCCTTTTGAGTATGGAACCCTGTGTGACTCACTGGTTGCCCATGAAGCTGGCCCTGGGTGAGAGCCTTCTGTAACTCCCCTAGCCTAGACTGGGGGCACCTCTGGGGGGGCCTAGGACCCAGTGGTCACTTATGGCCAGAGCTGACATTGCTGAGCCCTTACTATACATCCATTAGAACACAGCTGTCCCTGTATTGTGATGTGACCTGTTGAAGTTATTTGCATCTTCCAGATGACTCGTTGCCCCTTGAGGGCAAGGCCTGTTCCTCACTAATCTTCAGATCCCTAGGATTGAGCTCACTCTTGTTCTATCTACAACCATTTACTAGCACTTCTAATGTGCAAGGCTCTCTGCCACACACAGGATTCAGCAGAGAACAAGACCAGCAGGTTCCTGCCTGCAGGCAGTGTGAGGTCTGTTGAGTGAGACAGGCAAAAAACAAACGCATGATGTAATTTCAAATTGTGATGAGTGTTACTAAAGAGACTGTAAAGGAATGACCTACTTTAGACAGGTGAGCCAGGGAAGGCCTCTGAGGAGGTGTCATCTAACCTGAGAAAGGAAAGATAGGAAAGAGCCAGCCATGGGCAAAGGGAGGAGAAGGGGATTCCCAGCAGAGGGGCCCGATGTACAAAGGCCCTGAGGAGGGACAGAGCTTGGGATGTTCAAGGACCCACAAGACCACTGTGGCCAGAGCAAGGCAGGGGAAATCCTGCAACATGTGATTGGAGAGGTAGGTATCGACCAGAGCAGGCAGGCTCTCATAGACCTTGGGAAAGAATCTGGATTTTATTCTAGGCACACAGGAAGTTGTGGAGATATACAGCAAGGGTAGTGGACATTTGTTACAATTTTGGTTTCTCAGCTCTTAACCCTCCTTCCTACTTGGAACTCCCTATTTTGTGTACTATTGATGGAAGAGTGTGCCCAGCATGCTCTGTGGAAGACAGTCCCAGTCCTCTCTCTGCCCCCCAGCAGTCAGGGCGCAGGCAGTGATCAAGGCTGGGCTGATTGGACCCTCCCATATAGGTCTTTGATTCTGGAGTCATTGAATTCATTCACGGCCCAGTGGTAATACCCCTGGAAGGGATGGTGGAGTCCTGCAATTGTGATGGATTCCTACAGCAATCACAGGGACAGTAGCATCCAGACCCAGGAGTCCAGTTGCTCTTGATTCTGAGAAGTCCCCAAAGTCTTTCCTATACATTCCTTCGTGTATATATATATATGTGTGAGGCTAAGAAAACTAGAGTGAGTTTCTGTTGCTTGCAAGCCAGAACCCTGGCTGTGTAATGATCAGAGTTACACTTGAAGATCACTCTGGTTGCTCCATAGAGAAAGGACTGGGAGTGAGAATGGAAGTAGGGAGAAACCAGTTAGGAGGGCGTTGGAGAATTCCACATGAGAGATAATGGGAGCTTGGACTAGTGTGTGGGCTGTGGAGAAGGGGAAAGGGTAGAACTGACAGGACTTGCTGATGGTGTTATGGATTGAATTGTGTCCCCCAAAAATACGTGTTGTAAATCCTAACTCCTATACCTGTGGTTATAATCCCATTTGGGAATGGGTTTTCTTTGTTATGTTAATGAGACAGGATTAGTGTAGGGTATGTCTAAAGTCAATCTCTTTTGAGACATAAAATAGCAGATTGAGCAAGCAAGCAAGCAGAGATAGGGGAAGATAGATGCCATGCCACATGAAAATTGCTGAGGAGTAGAAGCTGAAAAGAGACAAGAACATTCCTCCAGAGCCGACAGAGAGAGAAAGCCTTCTCTTAGAGCTGGTACTGTGAATTCGGACTTCTAGCCTTCTAAGCTGTGAGAAAATAAATTTTTGTTTGTTAAAGCCGCCCACTTGTAGTATTTCTGTTATAGCAACACTATATAACTAAGACAGGTGGGAAGTAGAGGACATCTTAACTTGCTTGTGGTTTATTTGGTTACTTGTCCCCCTACCTTGTTCTGCAAAGGATTTGAAGCAGCTTGCACATGTAAGAAAATATTAAAATAAAAATAAAAGAACATTATGGCCCAATGGGAAGCATAGGAGAGGAGGGAAAAATGGAATACAAACAGGCTTTAAGGTCCTGTGCATTTGTTATAACTGAGCTATATATTTGACTTCGAGTTTCCTGGTGGCCGAATAAAAGGAGAAACACAACTGGTTACATATTCTTCATTTTTCAGTACATGAGGAGAAAGCAGGCCAGTGTCTCTGGAGATGCAAAGCTCTCCTTAGCTCACAAAATTTTTCATAGGTTCTAGGAGGCACCGAGTGGGCCTCGGGCTGTGTTGGTTGGCTGTGTGATGATTCCTCAGCCATGTGACAGGGCTGCTCTGACCCCATCACGGAGGCTCAAGGTCCAGTCATAGTCAGGTGGCCAGTCATTGGCCTCAAGTGATCCCAGGGACTCATTCTTCCGATAAGAACCCAAAAGACTTAGGGTCAGGATCAGCTCTAAATATGAACTGTGTGGAATTTTATTTTTAATTGGAGGAAAAAAAAATCAACAACCACTGATTAGGACCCTGGAGGAGACAAAGCCATTTGTTTAATTATTTATAGTGTAGTTGGAAGCAGTGACCTGTATTGAGGGCAGAGTTTAAACCTAGTTCCCTGGTTTCCTGGTAGTGGAGAGAGGAAGGATGGGTGCAAGAGGTTTACTCTGCTGAGGGCTGGCACCCTGCCGAGTCCGTAGGTTGTGGTGCAGAGAACACCATTTCACAAGAATGTTGGATCAGGCAAGGACCATCAAGTCCAACTCATTTGTATGGATGGGAAAACAGCTCTGTAGTAGAGCTGGACTCGAACTCACCCCTCATGACTCCCCGACCAGTAAGTTAACCCCACACCAAATTCCCTAAGCAGAGAAGTCCCACTTATAGTCACTAGACTACACTTTATAAGTACACTTGGAGAGATTTTAGAAGATTTTAACCAGGGTCTGAAATAAAGCCAATTTCAGATTAAGTCTCAATTATTCATAAATCAGCCAGAGCTTGCCTTTTGCCACAATATGCCACTTAATCAGTGTTTTGCTCCACATTTGCGTCTGAGAGTGTGCACACAATGTGTGTGTGCGTGTACATGCAGAGGGAGGTGGTGGGGAATTTTTCTGCGCCTTTTGTTGTCTCACCCAGCACCTAACAACAGAAAGTGCACTAGCTGAGAGTCAGCAGGACAAGTTCTAGTTCCGACTCTACTAAGAACTCTGTGTGGCTCTGATAAGTCATTTACTCTCTCTGGGTCTTTGCATCTGAAAAATAAAGGGGTTGCTTTAGATCTCTATAAAGAATCTTCCAGACCTCCCAGTCTGTGGCTCTAAAATGAGATCAGAGTTTATACCCAAGCATACAACTGAGCTTCGTAGTGGTTTGGTGTCTTCCAAAGCAGTGACAGGATATCTTTCTAATACAGAGCTGATCATATTAATTCCCTGCTTGAAAACCTTTCCAGAATTAACCAGCACCCTCAGAATAAAGTCTACCGTCTTTGGTAAGACATATAGGCCCTCCAAGCTCTGGTCCCCAGTGATGGCTTCAGTCTCATCTTTCACTCCTTCCTGCCTCCCACCCCCTATTTCTGCCAAATTGAAAGATGCTCATCTACATCTTGGATCTTTGCACTTGCTGCTTCTCTCCTCTGTCCTATTCCACTCTGCTCCCCCCTCCCCTCTTCTTCACCCACTCCAAGGCTTCACTGTCCTAGACAATCAGCTCACAATGCTCTGCTCCAGGAAGCCCTCCCTTAGCCACCTCCCTTCCCTGCCCCAGCTGAGAGGGATCCCATTCTCCAGGGCCCTCTGCTTCCTTCTCTTGCCACTGTCTCCCTCCCTGGGTCCCTTCCAAGGCAGCGACCAGTTGTATTTACTTCTGTATTGCCAGTACCTCTTATTTCATTGACTCTGGGTCAATGTGCTGAAAGCCAACACTGTTTTATAAATAGAGATTTTTTTTGCTTCTCAGTCTCCCCATCTCTATTCTTCAGTCTCAGCTGCAGCAGCTGGGAGTAAAGACAAATTGAACAGTCTTCAAAATGTAAACTGGTCCACTAAAAGTGGACAATTAAAAGAAGCAAGTAAATTCTGTGAATTGGTCATAAGGTAGGAGGCTTTCAGGGAACTGATTATTAAGTGATTGACTTTCAGCAAATTGACCTGGTTCTGTCACATTGCTTGGCATATGGTAAATCAGTTGCTGTTGAGTCAAGCCAGACTTCATGGTGACCCCATGTGTGTCAGAGTAGAACTGTGCTTCATAGGATTTTCTTTTTTTTTTTCCTAAATTTTATTCATTTTGTTGTTGAGAATATACACGGCAAAACATACACCAATTCAACCGTTTCTTCATGTACAATTCGGTGACACTGATTACATTCTTTGAGTTATGCAATCATTCTCACCCTTCTTTTCTGAGTTGTTCTTCCCCATTAACATAAACTCACTGCCCCCTAAGTTTCCTATCTAATCTTTTGAATTCCTGTTGTAACTATATGATTCCATATAGACAGTTCTTAGAAGAGCTTAATGCTCAAGGCAGACATTTTTTTACTAGTTAAGCTAAACTATTGTTTGGTTTTAATAAAACTTCAGGGGATATTTTTGGTTTAAGTTTTAAGGGTTATCTCACGACAATAATTTCAGGGGTTTATGCAGCCTCTATGGCTCCAGAAAGTCTGGAGCTTTTAAATGCTGATGTTTATGTACTATGTACTACGTCATGCGTACGATGGCTCTCCAAGAGGAGGATAGAGTATGTAGGGCTTCCTACATTTCTTTGACCAGAGAGCTCTATGTAGTAAGCCATAGCTTGTGGGACTCGGGTTCCAAAGAATATGCCTTGAAAAATACTAGGTTACATTAATTCCTTGGGAGTCTACTCTACTTGCTGCGTCCAAGCCCTGGGTGAAGCATGCTGAGGAACTGAGAGAAGAATCAGAAGAACCAAGCCCTGTCATGAGGCTCCCTTTCAGCAGGAAGATAAGACTTGTACTTAGGTAGTCAGATTCTTGACTAGGAGAACTGATGTCCTAGGAGAGGTTCAGCTATGAGTTCAGAAGGGAGAAAGAGAGCTTGCCTGCCTACAGGGACCCGAGACAGCTTTCTAGAAGAGGCCTGAGAGCTGGACCCTGAAGATTGAGGGGGATGATGAGAGGGAGGGGTGTTTCAGACAAGTCAATGACATCAGCAAAGGCAGAAGGGAAAGCACTAGGAATGAACAAGGCCCAACAGGAGGTTCAGTTGGTCTAGAGGAAATGAGTGTGGGGGGAAGCTTAGAGATGAAATTGGGAAGAGAGGGGGAGCCCGATAGAGAGGACCTCAAATGCAAGACTGAGCCTGGGCTTGGTTCTGAATGCAGAGGGAACAGCTGAAGGTTGTCGAGCTGGGGACCCGGGTTGACTAGATACGTACTTTTGGAAGAGTGATCTGACAGCTGTTCACAGGCTGGGTTGGAAGAGAGGTCGGGGGGAGGAGGAGGAAGTCCTGGCAGGGGCAGCTCCATCAGCCCCACCTCTGGGCAGCCAGAGCCAGCTCTGCAGCAGATGAGCACAGAGGGCACAGAGAGGTGTAAGGACAAAAAAGAGGAACTGATTGGAGAGGTCTTTAAGAACCCAAATAAATAGAATTGGATTGTCTGTATACAGGGGAGAAAGAGAAAGAAAGACAGGGAAGAAGGGAGGAAGGGAAGGAGAAAGAGAAAGAGGGACACACAGAGAAGTCAATTTAGCAAGTATTTGCTGAGCACTTACCATATGCCAGACACGACATCAGGCCCAGGGGACACAGTAGTGGGTTAGAGTGACAGTCTCTGCCCTCCTTGCAGGCTAGTGAGGGTGACAGACCTTAATCAAATACCCACACATAATTACACACCATGACAGGTGTGATAAGGAAAAACTTGGGATGTGAATCAAGCATATAGGAGGGGGTGACCTAGTCTGAGAGAGTTGGGGGATACTTCTCTCAGGAAGTGTCATTGAGCAGAAGTCTGAAGGATGAACAGGAGTTAACGAGGCAGACAGATGGACAAAGAGCATCCCAGGTAGAATGTACTGCAAGACAAGAGCCGTGTTCAAGGAACCAAAAGACCAGTGTGGCTAAAAGTGCAAAAATAGGCAATCCAAGTGAATTCTTAGTTTCAGGACACGGGAAGAAGACAAGAAGCCAGAGAAGGAGCAGCTGGAGTAGTAGAAGAATAATTCAGGACTTTCCAACTCACCATCCCCCCTCCCATCACCCCCAGTCCAAGCACCCCTCAAGCCTGTTTCCCTCTCCTGACCTTGCATGAAGTCCCAAATGTTGGACCTTTGGCCTGAGAGGTGGACCACGGGGCAGTTTGGGGCCAGACCCCCTTCCTCAGTCTTGTCTTCTAGTCGCTGCCAATGGACCTTCAGGATGAACCAGAAGTACGGGATGCTGAAGAGGGTCGAGCCCCACATGTCATAGGCAAAGTTGGGGTTTTGGGCCAGGATGTTCTTCTTGACTCTACCAGGGAACAGTGTCAGTAGCACTTTGCCCATGGCCACATGCAGGGCCACCTGCAAGAATACCCAGAGCCTTTTCAGCCATAGCCCTGCCCAGGGCAGCCCCATCTCAGCACAGCCAGAGCCAGCTCTGTGGCAGATAGACAGAGGGTCCACAGCCTGGAGGCACTGGGTGGAGCTGAGCAAACGTGTAGGTCAGGGCAGCCAGTGTCAGGCAGGAGGAGGGTACAGGAGTGTGTTTGCCTTCCTGTCTGTAAAATGGAAAATTCCAAACCAGGTGCACAAAGGTCCCTTTTAATCATTATCATTCCTGATACTTTGTCTTGACTTTTGAGGGATTTTTGGATCAGGAGACTCCAGATCTTAGATTCTCCCTCTGGTAAGTTTTTAGAAACAATTATTTGAAAAGATCCCACTTAAAGCAAGGCTCTATTTACAAATAAATAGATTCTAATGTTAATTGTTCTTTTAATAACGTAAATTGTTCTTTTCTGAAGACACAGCCCTTCCCCAGAGGATGTGGCTCTGGAACCTCCCCCGGCAGAGATAGAACTGGGGCCATTCTCTAGCAAGCCTGGGGCTCCCCTTAGCACTGGGGGTAGAGTGATAAATATAAACGCTGCCAGTGCTCTCAGGGAGGCCATAGTCCAGTGCAGGGAAGAGATAAGTAAACAGAAAATTACCACTTAGTATATTAAATACAAAGACAGATGATGTGCAGCGAATTTGGGAGCACAGACAACCCAATTGTGACTCATAGTGACCCTACTGGACAGAGTAGAACTGTCCCATAGGGTTTCCAAGGAGCAGCTCGTGGACTCAAACTGATGATTTTTTGGTTAGCAGTGAAGCTCTTAACCACTGCGCCACCAGGACCCTTTTGTGTTAATACACACATCTAATTTTACATGCAGTCGGAATAAGTTAGGTAATGCTGCAGTAACAAAGCAATCCCAAAATCTCAGTGTTTACAACTACAGAGATTTGTGTCTTATTCATGCTACATGCATCGAAGCCACTCTCCTCTACTTTGGTTTTACTCTAGGACCTAGGTTGATAGTCTAGCCTCTATCTAGAACATTTCTGGTCTCATGGCAGAGGAAAAAGAGAAAAGACCAACACATGTTGACTCTTAAAACTTCTGCCTGTAGCTGGGGACCATGGTCTTGGGGGACATCTAGCTCAACTGGCATAGCCCAGTTTATAAAGAAAATGTTCTATATCTTACTTTAGTGAGTAGCATCCAGGGTGTTAAAAGCTTGCGAGTGGCCAGCTAAGATAGATACTCCACTGGTCCCACTCTGTCTGGAGCAAGGGAGAATAAAGAAAACCAAAGACACAAGGGAAAGATTAGTCCATGGACCACAACTACCACAGCCTCCACCAGACTGAGTCCAACACAACCAGATGGTACCCGGCTACCACCACTGACTGCTTTGACAGGGATCACAATAGAGGGTCCCTGACAGGGCTGGAGAAAAATGTAGAACAAAATTCTAACTCACAAATAAAGACCAGACTTACTGGCCTGACAAAGACTGGAGAAACCCTGAGAGTATGGCCCCTGGACACCCTTTTAGCTCAGTACTGCAGTCACTCCTGAGGTTCACTCTTTAGCCAAAGATTAGACAGGCCCATAAAACAAAACGAGACTAAACGGGTACACCAGCCCAGTGGCGGGGATGAGAAGGCAGGAGGGAACAGGAAAGCTGGTAATGGGGAACCCAAGGTTGAGAAGGGGAGAGTGTTGACAAGTTGTGGGGTTGGCAACCAATGTCACAAAACAATATGTGTATTAATTGTTTAATGGGAAACTAATTTGCTCTGTAAACCTTCATCTAAAGCACAATTAAAAAAAAAAAAAGTAATGCAATCTAAGAAAAAGAAAAAAACTTCTTCCTATAAGTGACACGTATTACTTCTGTTTATATTTCATTGGCCAGAGAAAGTCATATGACCAAGCCTGACATCATTGGTTCCAAGAAATAGAATTCTTCTTTAAGGAGATGCACAACAGGGAAGGAAATAAAGTATTTGGCAAGCAGTAATACTAGAAACCATATCTGCATAAACACATTACACTTTTTTAAAAATAAAAACGTGCTGATGCTATATAGACTGCATTACCAGTACTAGCACCACTTGCTGTCGAGTCAATTCTGACTCATAGCGACCTCATGTGTTGCAGAGTAGAACTGCACTCCATAGGGTTTTCAAGGCAGAAGCAGATTGCCAGGTTTTTCTTCTGAGGTGCCTCTGGGTGGGTTTGAAACACGAACCTTTTGGCTAGTAGTCAAATGCTTAACCATTTGCGCCACCCAGGGACTCCATAGAGTGTATTACACCTTGCTTTTTTCACTTAAAATATTTCGTGGAGATATTTCTATAGCAGTACATTCAGATTTATCTCATTTTTAAATTTTTTTTAGATTTACCTCATTTTTGAAATGGCCAATGTTTCATAACTTATTTAACCATTCTCCTATTGTTGGACATTTCGGGTTTACTTTTTACAAATAATGCTGCAAAGAATATGCATTATATAAACCTTTACTTTGTGCTTGTGTGTGTGTGTGTGTGTGTGTGTGTGTGTGTGTGTCCATTCTCATTAGATTCCAAGAAGTAGGATCATTTGGTCACAGAGGAAGTACCTTTTTTTTTTTTTAAATTGGCTTTGTTGTTGAGAATATACACAGCAAAACATACACCAGTTCAACTGTTTCTACATGTACAATTTAGTGACATTGATTACATTCTTTGAGTTGTGCAACCATTCTCACCTTCCTCTTCTGAGTTCTTCCTCCCCCATTAACATAAGCTCACTGCCCCCTAAGGTTCCTATCTAATCTTTTAAGTTGCTGTTGTCACTATATGATCCCATATAGTTCTTAAAAGAGCATAATGCTCGAGGCAGACATTTTTTACCAGTTAAGCTAAACTATTGTTTGGTTTTAATAAGTCTTCAAGGGATGTTTTTGGTTTAAGTTTTAAAGGTTATTTCAGGGCAGTAGTTTCAAGGGTTTATCCAGCTTCCATGGCTCCAGAAAATCTGGAGTCCATGAGAATTTGAAATTATGTTCTACATTTTTCCCCTTTTGATCCAGATTCCTGTTTTTTAACTTTAGTTGATTGTACTAAATCACCTACAAAAAAATGTATACTATTTACATTCCCAAGTTAGGTGTTGTTAAACCTATTCTAAACAGAAGAAAATTGGGGCTTAGAGAGGTAAAGTGTCTGGTTGAAAAACAGGACTAGATGCCTACCCCAATACACATTTTTCCCTTCCTCACTTGTAATAGAACTTTGAACACTGATTTTGGTGATATACATACCACTCAAGAAAAGGTCGCATTCCTCAGCCTCCTTTACAACCATATCTGGCCTTATAATGCCAGCCAGTACAACCCAGAGTGAGGCCTGTTGGTTACCAGTCTGCAATGAGATAAGGAACTTGCACCAGAATGTAAATAAACTGCATCACTAAGTACACTGTTAAGTTCAACTGCCTTTCTTTCTTCCTCAGTGAAGGACTTACTCAGTGAAGGAAGGAATGTGCTGATTTACATCTGGCACATATTACTGTAACTCATTGCAGACCAGCACTTTGAGTACATTGGATATAAGCAGAAGTGTCCAGCAGGATCTCTGGGGAGGCTTCTTACAGCACTGGAACATCTGGGAGAGGCCTTTTTTATACTTCTTTTTCTGGTCTTCAATTCATGTGATGGCTGGAGCTTCAGTAGCCATTTTGGATGTAAGGTGAACTTGAAGATGTAAGCCATGCCCTAGGATGGGGGAATAGAAAGATAGGTGCCTGGGACTCTGATACACTGTAGAGCCACCATCTAGTCCTGAATGTCCAACTCTACACTTCTTTATGTGACAGTAAAGCAAATAACTGTCTTGTTCAAGCCACTGGTATTTTGGATTCCTTTGTAATATGTTGCAGAATGTAATCCTACAGCACTGTGAGCTGCCTATTTATGTTAAGAGATGATGGTATGTGAGATGATTTTAGGTAGTTCACATATTAACCTTTTTTTTTTTTATGTCTTGCTTTCTCTCTCTTTATTACTTATTCAATATAATAAATTTACCATTTCTTTTCTAATAAAAAAATGAACCAGGGATGTAGACTACAATGAAATGATCATCAAAATATGGAGCTTCTTGTAGATAGTAAATTTTTTTGTAATTTTTTTCTTTTTCCAATTTTTTATTGTGGCAAAATATATATAACATAAAATTTACCATTTTAACCACTTTTAAGTGTACAATTCAAAGATATTAATTATAGTTACAATTTATACAACCATTGTTTACACTACTATTTAGTTCCAAAGCTTTTTTATCACCCCAGACAGAAACTCTGTACCCATTCTCAAAGAAGAAAACCTAGTACTCTGTTAAGAGTGAAAGAAAAGGAATTTTATTGAGGAATAATACAACTCGAGCTGGGCAGTGCTAAGTAAAAATACAAAGTACTCGCAGTTCAAGCTGAGAGAGGGGTCTATATACACAGGAAAGGTAGAGGGTTAATGAGTGATTATAGATAAGATCAGCTTCAGCTTGAAGTCCTTTGAAATATAAAGGTCAGCCACTTGGCTAGGAGGGAGTGAGTTACTACCTAGGTAAGTCGCACCAGCCAGTTTGGTTATAAGTGATTGCAGTCATGAACACATTTTTCCCTGAAACAAATTGTTTACATCTTGATGCATTCTTCTATGAACAAATGATTTACATCCTGACTTTTTGCTTCCTGGGAATGAATATTGGCCCTGTCATTCTTACGTCTGACATGAGTGCCTCCAGTTTGAAACTTTTCCATTTACATTTCTCTCTTTTGATCAAGTCTCCACTAGGAGGCGCTGATCGACCACTATAGAGTAGGCTTTCTTCTGCAAGGACTTTCTCTGTTTTCTTGAGGCGCTTTGGTTGATAAAAATTTTCTTCACCTTGCCGAGCTATAGGCCTCGTCTTTAGGGTGAGTCGGTTTTGTGGGGAACATCTTCATGGACAAGGCCACATTCGAGGAACATTTTTCAGTCAGGACAGAATGACAGAGGTCAAGATGAAACACACCCAAGGATACAAAAGGGAGGTGATTAAACAACATAATCGTTGGTGAATGCCTGTGAAACCAGCATGATTTTATATGAAGGGTCAAATGGTTTTGAAGTACATTTTGGTTTTGAAGCATTTCATGGATAAAATGTGTTGAACTAAAGCAAAACCGCATTTTATAATTACAATAATAGAAACTATGAGGAATATAAAATTTCCAAAATAAAGTAGCAGTTTTTTCCACTATCCACCCAAGAGGAAAACCAATTTCTTATAATGTCAGTTAAGGAAGGAACAGGATCATTAAGGCAAGACACTACATGTTGCATATGATTAACATAGGGTGTAATATTAGCACTGTTGTCAGGAATATAGACACAGCAATCAGATTTTATTATGGCACAGGTACCTCCTTGGACTACATTGAGAATGTCAAGGGCCATTCTATTTTGGAGCACTACTTTTCTCATC